CACCGACTGGCCCCCAAATGGACAGACACTTCATGACAGAAACCATGAGATTTACTGTCAAGAGATCGATAACCTAATTGACAGCCCTTTGAACATCAGCGACGATGCGCTAAACCACGAGATTATGGAAATTGAAACGTATGTCACAAATGGCTTCAATAATATACTCATACAAAGTCTGCGACAAAAGTCATACCAACACCCGATTACACCGGTATTTAAAGTTATCGATGACTATCAGGGTATCAATGAGTTGGAGGCCAATCGGATCACTGAACTCAAGACCGCTTCCGATGTCTTTGACTTTCCTGAGAGTAGACATAAGATTGTAGTAAAGGATAGACAAGAATTGATCCGTATATGGATTCAAAGGACTGAATATAGTGTCCGAAATGCTATTTCTTTCACCAAAAGACTGGTGTGTTTTTCATCAAATACCTGTCCGGATGACCAGTTAGTGTTATTCAAGTACGGGTGCCTTGAGATGCTGTTTCTCAGGAGTTTGCAGAACTTAGATCCATATACCGGGATATCCAAAGTATATATAGTAAGTTATCTTAATAAATAGCTAGTCTTATATCAATTGTTAGACTATGTAAAATAGTACCTGTATATAATATATATGTAATTTGTAATTGTTTAAATTTTATGTGTGATAGGATAGCGAGACAACACTTTTGATGGATATGACTGTATTTGATGAAACAGAGTCTTTTAAACTTGGTTTTACTTTAACTAAACAACTTTTATATAAGTTATTACCCGAATGGGATCAGGATCAAGTAATCGTGGATTTGGTAATAATACTTTTATTTTAAGTACAATTACTATATTTTTAATATTAATCCCATATTCTTGATAATAGTTGAATGCAATCATTCTTTTCAATCCTAATCTACCAAACCTTAAGAATCGACATAATGTTAAGTGAGTGTAACTTACGTTTAGTATTTGGAAGTTAATAAAAAATAAATATCATTAATAATAATATTATTTATATTAAAGGTGTGAGCAGCAATTGTATATTTATTTATTGGAAAAATATTTACTATTGAAATGTGGATCTGAATCGCCAGCAAGACTTCAGAAACTGATGATTATATTGAGAGATATAGAAATAATTGGAGAAATTCATGTGAAATACGGTAATCATAATATAAGCGATGATAATAAGCAATATTTACAATATTATGGACCACTGGTAAAGGAGATATATGATATGCCTTGAGTGCTAATTTTATTATTGTTAAGAAAGTTGTTTAAAATTGCCTGTAGTAATTTATTTTTATTATTTATTAAAGTATATTTATTGTAATTAAAGTTTTATGTTATGAAATTCAAAATGTTCAATTGTGTATTAAAGATTGTCATTATGTTTTTATATAATAATTTCATTTTATTAATTTTGTTGTGTTTATAGTTGTGTTTAAAGGTTTTATTAAATGTTATTTTTATTTTTAGTACAAAAATATTATACTAATCGTAAGTACCCATTAGAGTACCCAGCGAATATGAAAGTATTGCATAAAATAAAATACTTATATTAAATTCTTAGAGTTATTAACTTATCAAAATTTCCATGATATTATCATATTGTTATATAGATATTGAGTTTACAAATAGCATGTTATGCATGTGTTAATCCTTAAAATAGATATCTAATCTATCTTACGTAAATAATTTTATGAGTCACCATAAAAAATCACAATAAACAGCAATCCTTTCAATTGTTAAATGAAATATTTGTTTGAATTGTTTGATATTTGAGTACTTTATGTTAAACCGAACTTTCAATAATATTAAGTACTTAACAACTTACTCGTTTCCATGTTTACAATATATACGGCATAATTTGCACACAAATGGTGTAATAGTGTTCATTGATAAATGTTTTCTTAAGACCATTGTAAAAGTAGTATATAAATAAATAAGGGCACATTTAAATTTAACAATCAAATAAATATAAAGTTATCACACATAACTATTTATAAGTTTTATAAATACATTGTGTACCGTACCTACTTGCACAGGTACTTAATAAAAAAATACTGAACAAATATTAAGAATACAGAATTAATTTTAATTTTGTAGCAGATAAATTCATAGTTAAAATCTTTTGTTGCTAAGTTAACAAAAAAAGTACAATTTTTATAGCTACTTCGTATATATCTATATTATTATTTAAATCTTGTAATATTCTTTTTATAAAAATAATATATCAAAAATTCAATATTAATATAAATTAAATTGATTAAATGTAAATATTAATATTACAAAATACATATCATATATCAAGATAAATGGATTCAACAAAAAGTGAAAGAATTTGTAGTATTTGTGGCGATACAGCATTAAGTAAGACATTTGTACAGTTTCTGTACAGTATTCAAAACACTACATATTTATTATTACTTAAAATAATGTTATATACTTTTTGTTAATAATTTAAGGCAGAAATTTTGGTGCCATTACTTGCCAATCGTGTAAAGCGTTTTTCCGAAGACATGCATACAATGCAAAGGTATGTAAATTAATACTTAAATTGTTTAATGATTTTTAATTTTAATTTTATGTTTATAGTCAATGACTTGTATAGCGAATGGAAAATGTAATATAGATTCCGAAACAAGAAATATGTGTAAAAGATGTAGAATTGATAAATGCTTTGCTGTAGGAATGAAAAAGGTAAGTTTATAAATTTACTAATTTATTTCATACAACTAACTAAAATTATATTTATTAATTTTGTAGGAAATTATAAGGAAAAAAGTTATCAAAAACACTGATAATGCCAATGCCAAAAGCCAATGCTGTAGATCTCCAAATACAGTATTATCTAGTGGTAATCTAGATGACTTTGACAAGTTACTTGATGATTTTATGAATGCTGAATATGAAAGTAGCACCACATCTAGTGATGATGATTTAAATAAGCAATATATTACGGACACTGAAACATATGATACAAATGATGACACAATCAACTCATCATTTTCATATGATCTTGATATTACTGCCGAAGATAGTGATAATATTATACAAAAGTCAATGGTATGCGCCTTAAGTCCAGTATTCAAAGAGATCATTGATTACCAGGGTTTTAAACAACTTGAATTGAACCGTATATCCGAAGTGATCAGTGCGTCCAATGTCTTCATATACCCATTGAGTACAAACATATACACAATTAAGGATAAAATAGATTACATCCGGGTTGCCGCGCAAATGGCCGAAAAACGCATCCAGGATGTTATCACATATATATCAGGTCTGAGTGGATATACAGATCTGTGTCCCAACGATCAGTATTACCTATTGAAGTACGGGTGCAGTGAAATACTGTCCCAGCGCAAATGGCCGAAAAACGCATCCAGGACGTTATCACATATATATCAGGTCTGAGTGGATATACAGATCTGTGTCCCAACGATCAGTATTACCTATTGAAGTACGGGTGCAGTGAAATACTGTCCCTCAGACGTGTCACCTATTATAATGACAAAACCAAAGTTTTTGTTCAGTATATGGTAAATAATATAAACTTTATTATATACAGTAGTTCATAAATTATACTGTACGGATAAATTAAAATATTGTATCATTCACTTTCATAGGACAATGAGAATTCATTGGTTTCTAAATGTGATACATATAAAGAGTTTGCTAACCAAGAAAGGCCACCTAGTCAAGTTATATTACATATATTTATAAAGTTCCTGGAAAAGATATGTCCAGAATGGGACTGGGATCTCACTATATTGAATCTGGTATTTCATATTTAATTATAAACTATAATGTAAATTTTAATTATGATTTATTTTCATAGTTAACGACAATTATACTGTTCAACCCAAACCGTCCAAACCTAATACATAGAGACACTGTAAGGCAAGTAGTTTTAGTAATTATACTAAATTTATATAAATTTAGTAATATACTAAATGCTAAAATGTTAATTGTGTGTTTAGACTCCAACAACAGCTGTACATATATTTACTACAGAGATATTTACTTATGAAGTATCAATCAGAATCGGAATATAAACTTCAAAAACTGATGAATTCATTGCCAGATTTACAAATTATCAGTGAAACTCATCGCAAACATAGCCGGGACGATTATAAAGAAAATGTTCAATATTTTGGACCATTATTTAGGGAAATATATTCGTAAAAATGTATATAATTTTTAGATCCAGGATTTTAAGCATTCATGCAATAAATGATGTAATGTGTGAATAATATTGTATAAGAATAAATAATCATTAGTACATTGTAAGCCTTTGACATTAAATGTATTTATTAGTGGAAAATTATCTTATAAGCTATAAGTGTTGTGTGTATTGTGAATGTCAATGCTAAATCAAATTACATTTCAGATAACAAACAATTATGATAAAAGTGCCCATAATAAACGAATCAAGGACATTTATCATTTAAAACTTGTTTCAAAGTCTATCGAAATGCAATTCATTTCAAATTAATAAATTTTAGTGCATTTTAATATAGTGTATGTTTTACTACTAATTTAATTGATTATTAGACTATAATCCTTAACTTGTAAATATAGCTTGTTGATTAAATTTGATTTTCATTATTATAATTATCTAATACAAAATGAGTGACAAAAAAGTAAATAAAATTTGCGTAGTGTGTGGTGACAAAGGAATCGGTATGTATTTATTAGTATTATTTATATTTATAGCGAACTACCTAATAAATTTAATTGAAAACTGTATTATTTGTTTAGGTAATAATTTCACAGTAGTAACATGCGAGTCGTGTAAAGCATTTTTTAGACGTTTTGCACTTAAAAATAAGGTATTTGTATCTTGTAAAACTACCTGTACCTGTACATTTTAATTAATTATAAATAAAGACTAATAATTAATTTCATGAATATAGCCATTAAACTGCCCGTCGGATGGAAAATGTGTTATAAATCCTGTGACCAGAAGAATGTGCCAGAAGTGTAGACTCGCTAAATGTTTTGCAGTGGGAATGAAAAAAGTATCATTTATATCACAATTATATAAATACTGTATTATATATATAATTTATATTATTTTTTGCATTTTCAATAGGAGTTTATAAGAGATCCCGAGCAAAATGAAAACCGCAAAAAACTGATCAAGCTCAATAAATTAAAGCGCGAACAATGCGATGAAAGTATCATATCCTCGACAAGTGATTCATCGGAAGACTTACTAATCTTTGACGAAAAGACCGAAAAACATATTTTCAATTCACTTATTGAAGATTCACTCGATATTAGTGATGAGGGTCTTAGNATTTTCAATTCACTTATTGAAGATTCACTCGATATTAGTGATGAGGGTCTTAGTGAACAGATTATGGAAATAGGAAATTGTGTCATAAATGATAACATGGATGCAATTAATAGTGAACACAAATCACCGGAATTAGCGGTTATACCAATATTTAAACAAATAACAGATTATGAGGGTTTAAATCAGTTAGAGGGCAGTCGTATATCAGAGTTAGTGAGCGCTACGGCTAGGTTTAACTATCCGATGGGTAGTAATATACTCAAAATTGATAATCTTAAAGATTTAATTATACTCTCACATCAAAAACATGAAAATATAATAAAGGACACTGTAGAGTTCACTAAATGTTTGAATGGATTTAATAACATATGTTTGAATGATCAATTGGCACTCGTTAAGCATGGATTGAATGAAGTGTTGGGAATTAGATTTATGAAGTACCATGACATGAACAATGATACTTTAGTATTTCCCATAGTTAGTATAATGACTTATAATATTTGATTAATCTTAACATTGTAATTAATTGCAATAATTTACTATAGGACAATGATAATGCAATAGTGGCCAAATTTGATATATTTCAACTAGATGCAAAATATTCTGATATGTTGAGAGATATTACACACAAAATATTGAATAAGTTGAATGACAGCGACTCCATTGTTATTGATTTGGTATATAATTAGTAATAATTCTGCACATAATTATAAGAATAGATACGAAAATATTTAATACAACTCGTATTTATTTTACAGTTAACCGCGATCACACTATTCAATCCAAATCGACCTAATTTAACCCATAAACAAAATGTTAGGTAAGCGATATAATTGATAGATGATAATTAGTTAGAAATAATTACTATAATAAATGTTTTTTTTATCAATTGTTCGTAATAGACTTGAGCAACAGTTATACATATATCTATTACAAAGATACCTATTATTAAAATATGGATCGGATTGGGAATTAAAGTTACAAAAACTGATGATTTCGTTACAAGAGTTATCAGTGATGAGTGACTTAGAGTTAGCTGTTATGTTGAAACAATCTAAACCTTTTGTTCATTTATTCGGACCCCTAATGAGGGAAGTATATGGATATAACAGTTTTGATCAAATTAACGACTAATTATAAATGTACTAGGTATTGGTGTCATCAATTCTTAAGTTTAATTTTTTTTATTTATGTTTATTATTTATTAAATATTCAGTGTATATGATATTTTATTTTAACTTTTATTTTAAACATTACATTACAAACATATACACAATTAAGGATAAAATAGATTACATTAGGGTTGCAGCGCAAATGGCCGAAAAACGCATCCAGGACGTTATCACATATATATCAGGTCTGAGTGGATATACAGATCTGTGTCCCAACGATCAGTATTACCTATTGAAGTACGGGTGCAGTGAAATACTGTCCCTCAGACGTATCACCTATTATAATGATAAAACCAAAGTTTTTGTCCAGTATATGGTAAGTAATATAAATTATAAATTTTTAAGTTCATAAATTATACTGTACTGAAAAATTACAATATTGTATCATTCACTTTCATAGGACAATGAGAATTCATTGGTTTCTAAATGTGATACATATAAAGAGTTTGCTAACCAAGAAAGGCCACCTAGTCAAGTTATATTACATATATAATATGTTAAGGATCTTTTCTATACAGGTCTTACCCTGACCCTAGAGTGATATAACTTAGACCATTAAGTATAATTAATATCTGATATTACAGTTACAATTAATACTAAATAAAAGTATCAATTGCTCAATTATCCTGTTCAACGGTTTGGCAGGTTTGGATTATGTATCTCTATGACATTCCGTTCATCAAAATCATTAATATGATTTAAATATATTTAAATATGATTTACGATTTTACACTTAACACACAAATCTGAGATTGTTGTCGAGTACATATATTTACTACAGAGATATTTACTTATGAAGTATCAATCAGAATCGGAATGTAAACTTCAAAAACTGATGAATTCATTGCCAGATTTACAAACTATCAGTGAAACTCATCGCAAACATAGCCGGGACGATTATAAAGAATATGTTCAATATTATGGACCATTAGTTAGGGAAATATATTCGTAAAAATGTATATAATTTTAGATCCAGGATTTAAAGCATTCATGCAATAAATGATGTAATTTGTGAATAATATTGTATAAGAATAAATAATCATTAATACATTGTAAGCCTTTGACATTAAATGTATTTATTAGTGGAAAATTATCTTATAAGCTATAAGTGGTGTGTGTATTGTCAATGCTAAATCAAATTACATGTTAGATAACAAACAATTATGATAAAAGTGCCCATAATAAACGAATCAAGGACATTTATCATTTAAAACTTGTTTCAAAGTCTATTGAAATGCAATTCATTTCAAATTAATAAATTTTAGTAAATTTTAATATAGTTATGTTTTACTATTAATTAAATTGATTAAAAATTATTGGACTATAATCCTTAGTTTGTAAATATAGCTTGTTTTTTAAATTTGACTTTCATTAATATAATTATCTAATATTATACAAAATGAGTGACAAAAAAGTAAATAAAATTTGCGTAGTGTGTGGTGACAAAGGGATCGGTATGTATTTATTAGTATTATTTATATTTATAGCGAAGTACCTAATAAATTTTAAAATTTAAAACTATATTATTTGTTTAGGTAATAATTTCACAGTAGTAACATGCGAGTCGTGTAAAGCATTTTTTAGAC